AATCCCTAATTGGTAGGCTTCGATCGAGGCGTGGTTAGATTTGGTCCGGGTTTAGAGACTTAGGGTCTTGCTGGTATACTTCTATGTCTTCGATAAGTATTTCTTTTACTTTGAATAGGTATTTTTTATACTTTTAGACTGGTTCAATACTAATATCTCTTCTTTCTTCTCTATATCTCAAGTGCACTGCTTATTTTCCAGTCACGTGTTCACGTGATTTATTTCGGCATCAGTGGATGCTGAAATACGACTACGTAGAATCGATCAAAATCAAATGACGTATGTATTATTTAACAATGGTTTGATCACTAATGTAATCACTTTAAGTTTTTATATAAATAGGGGTCGATTACTAATACGATTTTTCTCTCTTTCTCTCTTAACGCAATACAGTAACGGGTCAACTGGATCACGGGGACAAGAAAATACGAAAATACGAATATTACGACCAGTATGTTTGAATGAAAAGGGTTTGGAACACTACTTGGATGCTTCTACTGTAGTAATTTCGAAGTTGTGATACCAAGAGTTTTTTTTATTTGAGGTACGATTGTTGGTCTTTTTATACATTTTTTGTTACTATGTTTTTCTGCATACTATATACGACATATATCTCATATTCGTTACTTTCTATCCTATGTATACTATTCGCGACTTATTTTATGAGCTATTTCTGCCACTTATGCCATATCGACCATAAGTGATAGGTTATATCGGATATGGTCGATATAGTCGAAACGGCAGATTCGGCAGAAACGACCCAAGCCACCGTGGTGTCGACCTGCACTTCTACAACGTATGTAATATCTAATTGAAGGCATTCCAGCGCAAATAGCGTTAGATATTAAAACTTTATTAAGTTGCTTTAAGGAGACGTATAGCATACATCAGTGCAATTAATGTATAATTGAAATATGAGGTCTGTGCCTTGAAAATGACCTTACGGGACTATGTAGATTTTTTAAAATTTTTAGCTATCCAGTAATCCAATTCAAATAACTTTTTTTTTTTAATTTGTAGTGAGTTCTACAAAACAAAAAGAAAGTTTATTTGAATTGGATTACTGGATAGCTAGAAATTTTAATTTTAATTCATAAAATCTACATAGTACCGTAAGGTCATTTTAAGGCACAGACCCTATATGTAGTATGCATCTACGCAATTGATGTGTAATTGAAAGAGAAATATAGTATACATCAGTGCAATTGATGTATAATTGTCATTAGCCGGTAGTTTCTCACCCACATAAAACGGACAGCTGTTAGCCAGAAGCTTTGTGGTTAAATTAGCAATGATAATCTTAGCTGGTGGTTTCTCACCTGCGTAATGCAAATCAGCTGTCAATCTGAAGGATTTGCAAAAATAGCAGGATTCTACCGAAAGAGAGTAAGAAAGGGTGCAAATTTGCTTTGCCTTTAGGGAGCTGCTATTAGATAGGGTTGAAGGCAAGGTGACTCAGGGCATACCCTTTTTCAAAAAATTCATATATGTAAAAAATTGCTGTACAAAAATTTTGGGGGATTGCCCAAAAAATTTTCTGAGACTCCAACCCTACCGTTAGGCTACCCCACTGATCTGTTTTATATGTTTGTTATTGTCACGTATGTTCTGACACATTTGGTTATATTAGTGATCATGCCACAAATCTTAAATTGGTAAGATATTAAATTTTACTTATCTTACTCCTTACATATACCGGATTTCCTTGTTGGAATCAGGATTACCCATGTGATTGTTGGCTGATTGACGCATCACTGCTTAGCTGTCTTTTCGATCTGTTGACTTACTGTCAACCTGAATGAACTTAGTGAGATGACCATTATGACCTTGTCATGGCCCAACACTGCTGTAAACAGGTACTGATGCATTTTTTTTGAGCTAGTGGAAGACAGGCAGGAGAGAAGAAATAAAGAAACCAGCCTTCCTATAACGTGAGCGATAGCAAAGAAAAACTAATTTATGCTATGTTTGGCAAAGCAAAATTTCTTAAATATCTGCATAGGCAAGAACGCAAATTTCCTTCCTTATATAACTAATTACAGGTACATAGCCATATAACTAATACCCCTTACCCATTCTCCAATAATCAAAGCCATCTAAATTTTAAAAATCATATGTAATCATATTATAAATGAAAAATACCCGCATTTAATAAATTACTATATAAATACAAACCCACGAAAGGTAAAGGTGAACAACTGTACTGTGATCTATAAGAGAGCCTCCACTTATTACATAAATATAGCCCCCTTCAGAGTCAGTCGTTTGACAATTACAAGTTCTAAAGTAATCGTAATATAAACTTTATATGATTGGTTACTTTGGAGATTGCAATTGTCAAACGATAGATTACTTTAGAACATATAATTGTTGAATAACTGCTCTAAAGAGGGCTATATTTACGTAATAAGTGGAATCTCCCTTAATCATCTGATTCACAATAATGATCGCTTGTTATTTTGTTGATAGGCTCTCACAAATCAAAAAAAGAAATAACTATAAGTAATATTAAAAACTTTATCGTCAGTAATTTGATGCTTTATTTTTTCATAAGTAACTGTAGAACTTTATTTATATTATAAGACAATTCAGACCATTTTCCAGAACATAAACTAGAAATTTTCAATCATGAATCACATATAAAAAGGATACTAATATCTTTTTTTTTTTAACACTTAAATCGATTGTCAAAAGTAGTTAAGGTATAATTTGTATGTTTTAAAATTTAGATGTCATGTACGGCCATAAGCTTTATTTAAATTAACTACCAAAAAGAGTTAACACAATAATAAGAAATTTTCTTACCTGTTGCTATACTCTTATAGTAATATTAATTTAGAAGTTGTTATCGGTATGAATTATTAATATTGAGCTTTTTCTTATTATTCATATGATTATTAATGTGTTAAAGCTTTTAACTTTTTGTTAACTCAAATATGCACTAATAAAATAAGCTAAACCTGATTAAACTAATAAAGTTGCTACATTATTCTGCTATAAATATAGCTTGTTTGTAAAAAAAAAAAAAAAAAAAAAAAAAAAGGACAGAATTTCGAATATGTCAAAATCTAAACAAGTTCGAACTGCTATTAATGATGAATTTAAGCGACAAATTTGTGAATTTGCAATTCAAAATCCTCAATATAACCATGTGCAAATTGCAGAATACTTTAATCAAAATTTTCAATTAAATATACACCGTTCAACCATTTCTAAAATTATTAATGAAAAAGATAAATGGTTAGCAGTAGTTCCAGGTGAAATAGCACAAAGTAAATTCCGTCACCGTTTACCAAAATTTCCATCATTCGAAAAAGCCATGAGTTTATGGGTAGAAAGCACGATTGTAGCAAAAATTCCAATCAGCGAAATGATAGTTAAAGAAAAGGCCAGGTTTTTTATGCAGGCTTTTAATATAAATGAATCTGATCTGAAATTATCAAATGGTTGGATTGAAAAATTCAAACGTCGTAATAATCTTCATGTTTATCGTTTACACGGAGAGGCCGAAAGTGCACCTTTAGAAACATTGCATGAAGAAAGACAAAAGTTACATAATCTTCTTAGCCAGTATACACTTGATCAAATTTATAATGCAGATGAAACTGCATTATTTTATCGTATGCCACCAAACCAAACTTTGTCAACGGCTCCTATACATGGTCAAAAAAAAGTATGTCTGTATAATATTACATTAAATTACACTAGTAGTATTCAACACCACATATATGTTTAATAGTTTTGTTGGTAAAATTTGGGATTGGGAACCTAAACTATAGTAAAGATATAGGTTTAAATTTTAGTAAAATAAGGCTTTTGAGAGTATTAAATATTTTTACTTATTACATTTATTTAGCTAGTTTTTAAGGTATAACAACTGTGGTGTCAAATACTACTGATGTGATTTAGTAAAACTGTAAATATATGTGTCTTAAACAAAAAATCTATTTAACTTATAGGATAAAGTGAGAATTACTGTTTTACTTGGCACCAATGCTACAGGAACACATCGTCTTAAACCATGGGTAATTGGTAAATCTCCACGACCACGGTGTTTTAAACGTATTAACTTGAATTCTCTTCCTGTTGAATACCGTGCCAATGAAAAGGCATGGATGCGTAGTAATATATTTGAAGAATGGCTTTACCAATTAGATTATTATTTTCGAATTAAAGACCAAAAAATTCTTCTACTGCTTGATAATGCTGCCTCTCACTTTGATCCAAATGAAGAATATACTGATCAAGATAAAGCTGGTTCTGGTTCTGAAAATGAAGATGTTGAATTGAGTAATAGTATTGGTTCATCCTCTAAGGCATCTAGCAAAAAACGTACATCAAATAATAAACAAAACAAGCGCAAAAAACAAAATCGGCAGAGTTCATATTCAAATCTAACTAATATTAAAATTGCATTTTTACCTCCCAATACAACAGCTTACCTGCAACCAATGGATGCAGGGATTATAAAGAGCTTTAAAAGCAAATATAAAGCTCTTTATTGCCGTCATATTTTAATGCAATATGAGACTGGTGAAGATATTAATAAGTAAGAACTTTTTGATTTCTATATTTTAAACTAATACACATAGTGCTCTGAATAGTTTGAACCTAGTTGGACTATTTAAATCTATTGCGATCAATTAAAAAATATAATAAGTAATTATAAAGGTAATTAAGTTTGGTTTAAAAAGCATTTTTAATTATCATTAAAATATTATCATTACTATTTTACTAATATCAAATTTGGTTTAACAGTTAACTAATCCCGTTAACCCCATCAGATGTATGATTTATTAAGCAATAATTAGTTACCCTGTTTAACAGAGACATTGACCGAATTTGGTAAGAAAAAAGTTTTCCTGAGTTACATTCATGAAGCTGTAAAAAAAAAGTTAATAATAAGCGATCCTATTTAAAAAAAAACTTAATTAAACTTTATACTTATTTGCTATTAATTTAATGTTTATGAAGTTAGTAAAAAAAAAATTAGATGGTAAGCAAGCGATTTTATTTTTTTTTTTAAAAAAAGATAGACCTTATACTTATCTGTTATTAGTTTAACATTCATGAATTCAGGTAATTTATTTATGGTTCTAATTGTTTGAAATAGGAATACATTATCAAAAGGAAATTGGAGCCAAATGAAATAAGCAAATATTTTGAATATAAATAATCTATAAAACTACCAATGAAATCAAAGTCAAAAAAAGCATTCACTATTATCAACAACTTGTCAAGATGGGTAATATTAGTAAAGCACGATCAAACATATTATATTCAAAAATCGGCCACGATAGGTTTTGTCAGTAATTTTGTTCTATTGCAATGGTAATAAACTAATAACGATAATCATCCAATTAAATTTATTATAGCTTGAATACGCTAAATACTAATTTTATACAAACATGTATCTTCAATAATGTTTTTGTAGTGAACGTTATCAATGTTGAACTGATATTGAAGAAGAAAAGCACAAAGCTTTTATTTATTATCAAAAATCTACTAGGAAAGATCATGTTAATAGAACATATAATCCTAGTATTTGTTATCAACATGAAAATGGAGTTGACAAGGACGAACATAAGCTAGTCATGCATTATCAAAAATCTGCTTACTGGTGAAATGTGTTGTCTTGGTGTTTATAATTAAATAGAATTTAAAAAGGACGAACATAAAGCATTTAAATATTACCAAAAATCTGCTTACTAGTAAAATATGTAACCTTAGCATTTATTATCTAAATGAAACCGAGTAATTTTGTGGAAAATCTTAAAATGGTATTAATTTTTTTAATCTTTTAATTCGTTTTGTAAATATTAAATAAGTTAATACCATTTGTATTCGTAGGTTTTAGATTGCTATTTTAGTTAAATTGAAAACTATTCAGAGCACTACTGTCAAACCCCTCTAAAACTGATATGCATGGTAAACAGGTTTTATATCAGTATTGAGAGGTTGATTAGTTTTCTATCAAATTTGACAGGTTATCGATTTTGACCAGTGTTGAAAGGTTTAACTGTATTAATTTTTTTTTTTTAAGAAATAAATTAAATCTTAAACAGGCTATTGGTTATGTTTCGGATGCATGGAGTGCAGTTGATGATAATGTAATTATCAATTGTTGGAAAAAAACAGGAATTCTTCCTGCCGTTGAAGATGAAGAAATTATCAATGCTACTGAATTTCAAGATGAAGCAAATTTACTTGAAAATAACGATCTTGATACTCTTCTGGATGGGTTTTCTAGAGAGGATGATTATTCCACTGCTCTTACTTCTGCGGTAGTTGATTTTTTTAATGATGTTGACCAAACTATTGCAACGGAGGAAGCATTAACGGATCAGCAAATTATTACCCTCGTTCAAAATGAAGATAACATTATTGAAGATGATCAAGAAGACTCTGATAAAGAACCATCTGAAATATCTACACAAGAGGCATATAATGCCTTAAAAACTTGGTTATCTTTTTTTGAACAACAAGAATCTTCTGACTTTGATATGAAAGATATAAAAATATTAAACAAATATAGTAAAATTATGAGTAGAATTTTATCAGATTCGAAAAAACAAAGTTCTATTATTGATTATTTTCAAAAAATTTAATATTTTTATGATACATTTTAAATATATATTATTTTTTATGTATTTAACTAGTTAAGTTTTATTATACTATAAATAAATAAATAAATAAATATCAGTGTTGTAAGTGAAAATAGAATTTGTGTTCATAATTTCGATAGTGGATACGCTTATTATTTAAAAATGAGTAGGTAAGTAGTTAGTAGTGTTCTGCAAACAGGTACCTGAATTGGAACCGCAGGAAGTGTTTAATATTTTGTCATAAAGCATTTAGATAATGAGTAAGTCTCGTTTTATCATTATCCAGTGGCTTGATAGCAGAATGTTAAATACTGTATCCCCTGTGGTTCCAATTATAGCTGGTGGTAGAATTACGGCATTGTAGCATTTTACCACAGTACCTAATTGCCGTAAATATCATACGCTGTAATACTATAATGCCGCAATGTAATACCATAACCGTAATGCCACAATGCTATACCTTACCAAAAAACCTATAATATAGAAAACTTATAGTATTAATAATGATGATAAAAATAAAAAATAAATAAATATTCTAATAGACAATATAATATAGATTAAGAGATTATATAGTTTAAAATTGACCAATCAAATTATTTTAACTAAATAAATAAATATTAAAATTTTTTTACTTATAATCACACCTCTATATAATCACGATTTTTGTTTTGCCCAAAAGTGTGATTATAAAGAGGTATGACTGTATATTTATCTTACAGCATACTAGTTCCCAATCTCAAGCCCAAATTCCGTTTTGGTGTTGAGTACAAGATCTATCATTCTAAGGCGTTAAGAATTAAACTGTTACTTTTATCTTTCAATCTTTCTTCATTATGCAAATTATACATTTCTTTAATAATTTCATCAAAAAATCCTGAGACTTATCTTCTAAACATAATTGACTAACTTCACTAAATACTCTAGTAACATCAAATAAAAAAAAAGCTAATACAAAAAAGAATTAAAGAAAGCGAATGGAAAGTTTATACTTACAATGTACTAACACCTAGTCTCAAGTCCAAATTTCCGTCCCGGTGCTAAATATAAGACTTATGAAAAAAAAAAGAAAATTAGTACTAGGAAAAAAAAAAAAACTAAACCAAAAAACACCAAAAAAAAACGAATGAAAATTAATTTTATCTTACGGCATACTAGTCTGTTTCGGTGTTGAATATAATACCTATCATTCTAAGACATCAAGAATTGAACTGTCACTTTTGCCTTCAGTCTTTCTTCATTACTCAAATTATATATTTTTAACAATTTCGTCAAGAAAATCCTGAGACTTATCTTCTAAATATAATTGGCTAACTTCACTAAATATTCTTGTAACATCAAAAAAAAAAAGCCAGTACAGAAAGCGAATGAAAAGTTCATACTTACAATGCACCAACTCTTAGTCTCAAGTCCAAATTCCCGTTCTGGTGCTACAAAAAAAAAAAAAATTAGTACCAAGAGAAAAAAAAAAAAGGAAAACAAAGAAAACAAATGAAAACTACCATATACAAGATCCTCCAAAATAGATCCACCACGAATTAGACCCAGAAACAAATGCAAAATCTATATTTAGACTACTGTAAAATGTGCATGCTTTTATATACTAGACCCTGGTCCCTCATAAATTTTAAAATCAGTGAATTACCAAACGCAAATCTGAAGTTGTTAATGGAGCACTCTGTTAACTTCATTTTAATAGTAATACTCCAGAGTATTACTATTAAAATGGAGTTAATGAAGTGCTCCATTAACAACCTTACCCGGATCTCAATTAACAGCAGCAATTTTCTCAAGCTCAAATTTTCATTCCAGCACTGAATACAAGACCTACGAAAAGTAAAAAAAAAAGTTAACACCAGTAAAAAAAAAAAAAAAGCAAACAAAACGATAAAAAGATACTTATCCTGCAATGTATCAGTTCCTAAAGCTTCGAACTAAAAAAAAAACAAATCGCGTACAGCATATATATACATACGTATGCGATTACTGAATCTGTGATAATCTTAGTCGATCACATTCAGCCTGGCATCAACAATCGAATTAACATATGAATTTTAATTATGTGATTTTCTTGCCATTTGATTGGTTAGAAAGCCAGTGATATATAAGCTATATATCTCTGGCAAGAGATGCCTAGAAATTTCCTTAAATTTTGTACTTTTTTATTTTTTTTCTTTTTTTATTTATTTTTATTTTTATTTATTTTATTTTTTCTTAATTTTTTTTTTATTTTTCTTTTCTCATTTTTTTGTTTGTTCTTTTATTTTTATTTACAAAATTTATGTTAAAAATATATATATCAAAAGCTAATGGTGTTCTATGTTCACTATCATTTTTAACAACCATAGTTAAAACAGATGCATGATCAATATTAAGGTCATATTTTCCATCAATTCCAAAGTAAAACTGTCCAAATTTTTGACCATTTCATAGCCAAAGTTCATCAGATACAGTTAGTTAATAGTAATGTTCAGGAGAGTCTTCAGGTTTTGACAAATCTAGTTGCTGATAATATAAGACATATTCTTTTGGTTTTAATTCATCTTCAATTAAATAATATAGTATAGTCCATAGACCTGAATAGTCTTTTAAGTGTCTATCTTCATGAACAATAAATCATTTTAATTTTGAATTACTACAAACCTTATAGCTATTTAACAATATATTATTTGATTCCTCTTCACTAGTATCATTAAACAAAGCCAGTAAATTTCCTTTAATTCTTTTCATTGTTCTGTGATCTGCATGCCAGCTAATAATAATTTTATCCCGAACCTCCCATGTTAAATTAATTCTTGTTATTTTTAAAACAACTGTGTTTATAATATTAGAAGGAAGGTGAGTACCCTCTATTTTTATTCTAAGTGAATGACTTGAATTAAAGTAAGATAATCATGAAAATGAATATACATGTACAGAACAGCGATGCATATCATTTCTATTTTGTAAATTATTATGTAGACCATAGTTTGAACAATTAGGCAAACATTCTCTTATTCCTCCACATTTGTGCTGACAATTATTTCTATCATCTGAACAATACATAATCTATGACCAACAAAGTTTATCTTTTTTAAGACTGGTTTGAATTTCTTCTAAGTATTCATGACCCTTGGCTGTAAGTTTTATAATATCATCAATACGATTGGTTGACTTCTTATTTCTATTAACCTTCTATTTTATAAAATCAGCGGCACCTTCAACATGACAAATTGTAAGTAATTCTTGTTTTATTAGTTGGGGTGTTTTCAAATGGTTCTGAGACTTTAATCAGGTGTTTTTTAAAAGGAGATGTTATAATATATATGATTCGGCTACATGCCCAAAGAGAACAGAAACTGTATTATCTTCATTAAAAGTTATTTGATTTTCTAAATTTTTCAAAGTTATCATTACAATTATTGTTTGGCTAACTTATATGATAGTGTAAGTAACTGTGTAAGTGTAGTGAATAGTATAAGTGTAGCAGCAGTATAAGTGATAGTATAAGCATAGTGGTAATATAAGCGACAGTATACGCATAGCAGCAGTATAAGCGACAGTATAAGCATAGTAGCAGTGTAAGCGATAGTGTAAGCGACAGTATAATCGACAGTGTAAGCGATAGTGTAATTGATAGTGTAAGCAACAGTATAAGCAACAGTATAAGCAACAGTATAAGTAACAGTGTAATGATAACATAGATAACAGTGTAAAGACAAAGTAAGTAACAGTATAAAGACAACATAAGTGACAGTATAAACAACGTGTTCAGCAATGCAATATTATAAAAAATACTCTTGACAGTAAATTTTTACTTGGTTCAACATTTATTTAAAGAGAAAAATTTTTTTATTTATACGCAAATCAATCGATCAAATATTATTATACTATGCAAGGTACTGGTGTGCTGCATTTTTTTGCATTTAAAAAAAAAAGTATATTATGTGTCACACCATAGATAAATAGTACTTTAAAAATTGATCTAATTTATTTGTCATGTGCGGGTATCTGGGTTCCCTGCACAGTGCTAAAAATGCATCAAGAACGCCACTTAAATTCAGTGGTAATTTGAGCATATCAAAAAAATAACCTCAGGGGTATCAAAATTGAAAATTTTGCGTCCGTAGATGGTCTACGTAATATTGTGTGTCTGGAGCACTTGATAATCACCATGCATGCTTTTGTTACACTAAAGTACAAATATAGACATGCATGCAGACAGACATGAATTTTCAAAATTACATTTTGATAGCATAGCAATAACTCGTATTCGATAGATTCCAAAATCATTGTTACACGAACTATTTATATGGACAATTGAAAATTTGATATGTCATTGTAGTTTAAAACCCGGAAATTTTACTATCTGTTTACCTATAATAAGTTAAACCAAAGGTACCCATGTTTAGTAATAAAATTTCTTTGTTTAGAGTGTTTCTAGTAGAAAATCTTTTCTAATCGTTTTCAATCGCTTTCTCCACAGAGTTTTCATAAGAATAAAGGTAAACGTTTGGTAATTGGTAGAGTTTATTGACTTTCTACTATGTTTAAATTATTAAACGAATCTTAGATTTATAAAGTGTTAAATCATGAGTGTTATACTAATATAAGATTTTATGCATTTATTAAATAGGTCAAGCAATATAAAGCTTCTAACAAGGTTTATTTACTTGAACCAAGAACATATATATATGTATTATTTATTAAACAGATAAGATAACTAAGATCTTTAACGTTAATATATAGTAAATATGGTGATGTGGTCTAATTGATAATATAGTCCAAGGATAGTAACACACGACAATATGTTTTTAGTAAAGTATAATAGTTAAAAGATGGATTAGAATTACTTTGGATTTAAAAAAACTTCGCTTTTTGTTAATAATAAATTTATTTCACTTCATTTCGCGAATCGAAAAAAATTTTAATTGATTTGATTGGTTAATAGTCACGCATGGATCTATATAAATTAGCCAATCACATAAATGTTATAGCCCGTGATTTTCCGTAAAAATACGAGTTAT